CGCGGACGTGGCCTCTGGGCCTCGCCCGGTGTCGCTTTCCCCCCGTGGGCTTCCCGTACCCCCGCTTTGTGTCTGGGTTGTTTCTGCCTCTGCCTCAGGTGTCCGAAGCTGCCGGGGGGGAGATGGGGCGCCGGGCGGGAGTCTTGCTGGGTGCGTTGGCCCTTGGGACTGTCTGCTGGGTCCGGGGCGCTGCCGTGCTTGGTGCTTTTCGGACATAAAACATGACCCTCCCCCCCACCCCCCACGAAGGGTGGAAGGAAAGAATTCAGACCTCGACCAGTTTGTCAAGGAAGGAGTTGTTTTTCTAGAGTAACTTGCATTCAAATTGATGCTGGCCTTAATTGAAATTGCGTTGCGTGTCCAACTCGGTTCTGAAGTGCAGGTGCTTTTAAACTTGTAAATGAAGGCCAGGAGGTGCTGTGGATGCCTAGGGGAAAGGGAATGCCAGGGTAAGCCTAGAGGGGTTTCCTTTCATTTCAAGGTTAATTTGCATTGCTTATGATAGAAGAGTATATTGTACTAGAGTATGCTAACAACTGCAGTAAGCAGTGTATTTCATTATGACTGTCAAAAGGCTTTCTATTAAAAGAATGCTTCTATCCAATTTTAAATGCAAATACAGTAAGAAGCCAGTAGTTTAGGAGTTACATGTATCTCCCGTAATATAAGCCTCAGTCCTGCCAACACATGCCTTGCTTTGATGTCCCTGATCAGAATTATTGAGGTTAACTAGTTATAACTTTCACATACGGGTTGCATGCTTCTGTGGCTTCATTGTGATTGGCTATAGAACTTTTCTTGCAAGCTTTGAGGGTCTTGAGGGTGGTACGACTGTGTTTCGTATGGCTGCCATACTCACTTTAACAAAGGAAATTACTTTGACCTGGATTAGAGATGACCTGTATTTTTGGCACGATGACAAAATTGTTAGAATAGTGTCTTGAAGAAAAGAGAGCTGATTTTACAATTTGATATTTCTATGTATATGCAAATAAAGATGTCTTTGGCAATCTGAAAGCTCAGGAGAGCGGAGGATCATCTTAAATTATGAATTATTTTAGCTGCTAATGTTTTCACTTAATGTATATGTTTTCCTGTGGTAGATGACTTTGCCTTGCTTTGTATTCTGTTATCCCAGAGTCACACTGACTTTGGAAAGCCTAGAACTGCTTTGGGACAGTTGCTGCTGAAAGGGAGTATTACTTTTTCAATTGAACTACTCCTTACAGTCTTGGAATTCCATGGGTTTCTCCAGTTGTAATGAAACCTCTGTTGGGCTGGTTGTTACAGCCATTAAAATAACTGAATACTGTTGTAAGGTAAGCTGTAATCCTATTTGCAGTATTTTGAACACACTTTCTCAGTAAGCCCATTTTTGGGTCATGGTTTGGGGCTCTTGGCCCTTTTGAGAAAATAGGATTAGAGTTTTTTTGAGTTTACATTAAGTCCCTCCTTCAAATTTAGGAATGCCACAAGCAAGTTAAAGTTGTTTTGCCCACTTCAAGTGTGAAAAACACTGGGTTTTAGTTTTATCGTGGCTTTTCATTCTAGAGCATATAGAGTAAATACTGTATTCTTTTATGCTGCTTCTTAATTGAAAAGAGGTGTGGAGGTGCATGTATGCAGACACCCCCAAACACGTGACCTTCTGTGTTGTAAAGGTACAAATGGTTGCTTCATATCCAGTGATTTTAGTCTACTTTCAAAACTAAGGGTGCTGTCAAGGCACACTCAGAAACTGATACTTTCTGTGAAAGTTTAGTGTGGCCGTAGAATTGTGGGCCTTTACAGAACAAGCCTAATTCCATTTAGAGGTGAGCTGCAAGTGTTAAAATCTGAGTAAAATTTTCAGGCAGTTTTTTTGTTTCTGGGACATGCAGCTGCTACTGTTTTATTTTCCCTCTGAGGAAGACGGTGCTCCTGATTATTCTAGAGACTTGGATTTGTGTTATGAAGGGATTCTTCCATATTATGGAACTTATAGTTACATAGTTTCCCTGCCATGCGAAAAGAATTGTTAATGCTCACGAATGTGGTCTTGCAGTAATATTTATTTTTGTTGTACAATTAAAACTTAGAGGGCCTTTGGAATCCTGAGTTTTGGTTAAAATTGTCTATTGGCAGAATACAATTTTTAGATTAAAGCAGAATATACACAAATAATATATTCATATATAGCTGGTTGAGAACAATCTAATATTAACTGTGATGCCTAATGCATGTTGGAATATTTCACATAAAAGTTAGAACCAAACAATATACTATAGTCTTGACAGTTTTCAGGGTAGGGTGGGAAAAGTTTTGTTCAGCAATTGGAAGCACCATAAATCTGTTCTCTGAATTATACAGTTATTTCATGTATGCGACTAAATAAAAAAAATAGTTCTAAAAGTCAGATGCAGTGTGGAAAATACAGTGTTGGTGAACCTTACTGGCTAATTTCCCCAAAGTTTGCATGGCAGCTTTCTTGCTGAAGTTATTGACCAAATGTGGCTGTTCAGGGGTTTTAGAAGGAAAGCTTAGCCACTATGAGATCTTATCTATGCAGCAATGTTTAGTGTTAACTGAGAGCTTGTGGTGGTGTTTTTTTATGTTCAGTAAATTTTCTAGCTGTATTTGATGGACAGCTTCAGTTCCTGTGAAGAATGTGTGTCCCTAGTAATTGAAAGCCTTGCATTTCAGTAATAGAAATATGCCTTTCAAAAGTTCCTGTTAGTCCAGTAAACTAGCAAATGCTGTCTGATGTGGTAGGTGGGCAGCACTTTATCTTTGCAGTTTGGGGTCTAATTTCTGTTTGGATTCTTTGTGCGAGCTGGTGATGTAAATGATTTGGGTGGTGACAAGAACAATGAAAACAAAAGATTATTTTCTGGTACTGACTGGTACTAACAATGTTTCCTAGCAAACGGTCTTGTCTTTTTCTTCAGTGCATTTACATTCCTTCGAGGATTTCTAAAGTTGGCTTTTGTTTCTGGGCTATTAATTTCCATTTTAATGTTACAGTAGTGATTATTTATAAGCAAATCTTGGTAGATTTTTCCATTCAGCAAGTCTTTTCCATGCTTCCTTTCGCATATTTACCATTTCTTCTTGCCTGTATTCCCTGCCCATCCCTTTTTGCTTACTATTCCTTTCTCCTTTAAGCAAAGCTTAACTTTCAGAAAAAGAAGTTTCCCACTTCAATTAAAAAAATTAAAGAAAGTCATGATGAAATTTAAGCTAGTAGCAAAATGTGTTTTGTTAATCATATTGGTCAATTGCAAATAAAATTTTAGACGTATGGGGCAGCTTCAAAAAAACAGTGATATGACTGTTGTAGAAAACTCTTAAGGTAGTGTTTTGAATATCTGCCTATGTTTGTTTATGCTCTGAAATGAAATGCTGGAAAGGATAAGATAGTAAACATATGGATAGGATAAAAACCGTAGTTTTATAGGCAGCTATGTGATACTGATGCTTGAGCTTTCTATTGGAAGTTTTTATTCTCACTGACTGTTTATTTTTTTGCTAAAGTTTGAATTTAGCACATCTTGTGGAGGAGAATATTTTATTTGTTTATTGCTGCTTAATTTTGTTGAAATAACTCCTTATTGGGCATAAATAGTTTTGTTTTCTTCATCCTTGTCCCTGTATGGCTACTGACCTT